AATTCCACGAATCGGAATGTTTTTGTATGCAAGTGATTTTTTAGGGTTGTGGGTATATATATATATATATATATATATCAACTTGAATAACTATAGTACTTATATTTAACATCATCATCATCATCATCATCATTGTTGTCGTAATTGTTGTTGAGGAAGTCTCATTAAGCAACGCTCGATGAGGGGAATATATCAAGTAGTAGAAAAACCTAGTAGTGATAAAATTCTTTCTGAAAGAACTATGTATAGGAAGGGAAAAAGAAGAAAAAAAAAGGGTAAAGGGTACCCATTCTGGGACTTCGTTGTACTAGGCCTTGCCTTTTTTGCATCACAGAGGTTATGAAAAAAAAGCATATAATTTCGGTGATAGACTTTTTTTTGCGGCAATGAGTTGTGGCATGTGTGATGAGCAAATCAGGTCTTGCTTGACTGCAAAGTAGTATAGTGTCCATGAAATACAACATGATTATCACGACGAGATACTGCACCATCAAGTAAGAACAACAGGCAAGATTGATACAATCAGACTTGACAGCTGACGACAAAGGCCTCGTTGATCACGAACAATCACAACACAACAGCATCAAAACTCAACTCATCAAAAAAAATGCAAATTTCCTTTTCTCCCTTAACTCAACACTACCCTACTACCTACTACACTACCCCAACTAAACTCGCAAGAAAGAAAGGGTATCAAATCGACACAAAAAACATTTCCCGCCGCGAAGCGTAAATAGTTCTTCTTTTGATATTCTCGAAACATTGATAGAGATAGAAAAAAAAGGTTGAATACACGAAAGAAAACGTAAATACAGAGAACAAAAAAAAGTTAGACTCAGCCTCCCGCTAATGACGTTCGAGAAAGAATAGAAGCAAAAAGAAAAACAAGAAACAAATGCTATACGCTCAACAAGACATTGCTCGGGAGACCCCAACATGCGTGTGCCATAAACAGGTCAATGATAGTGCAAGAATGCAAATTGGTCATACCGTCGTGTCAATTGTACAATTAAGATGCGTGAAAAAAAAGAGGGCGCAATTTCTTGTACCCGGCTCGAAGATTAAATCATGGGGGTTTCGCCACCTTGGTACACACCGGCTTGAAGTGTGTCTGGTGGCATATTGGCGCGGAGCTCCTTGGGGTTCCTGTAGAAAGGCTGGCTGTTCTCTGGAGGTATGACTTGCTCCATGGGCTGAGGGTAGGGCGGTGGAGGAGGTGGAGGTGGTGGGATTTGGTTCACGTAGGAATCAGAATGACTGCCATCTGCAGGGGGAGAGCGGGCACCTGGACCCCGTGGAAAGGAGAACTCGGGCACACTCTCATATGGAGATACCTCGGCACGGGTCATTGGCGGCGACTTTGCGCGTTGAGGCCCGCGACTAGTGCTACGCATGCGTTCAGTGACCCGCTTGAAAGTCATACCAAGATTCTCGCTCACACTACCGCGTCCCCGTCGGTGAGCATGTGGGGAGCTAGAGGTCGAGGGGTTTGTAGGCGACATTTCCGTGGGCTTCTCGCCTGGGCTGTTACCCTCAATGGCAATGTTGATCATGCCAACACCGCCAATATTTAGCGGTGGTGGGGGCGGTGGTGGTGGAGTTGCCAAATGCTGAAGCTGAGATAGCAGAGGGGGCGCCGTCTCGTCCGGAGCCAAAACCACAACCTGGCTTTCATGGATGGTCTCGGCAATGCTGGCTGTAATCGGAGGTGGGCTATGACGCTTGTAGTTGGGTGGAGGCAAAACTTCGGGCATTGTGTTTTGTCGAGCATGACCGCGGGATCCCCCCAGAGAAGGGCGTCGACCAACTACGGGGTATGTGGGGGAGACATACGAGCTAGACGGCAGCTGCATATCCTGGGGAGGAGCCGACATTGACCGTTGAGGTGAAATGGGCTGTCCAAACGTTGTTGCAGGAAGAAGAGGACCGATGTCGTCTTCCTGTGCACGTGGAGAACCTTGGGCAAATTGCATGTCATTGGGGATACTTGGCACAGCAGGGATGTCCTCTTCGTTTGGATCAGCAGTCATGTATCGAGGGTGGCGCATGGCACGTGGATTTGCTGGCAGGCCAATGGGCACAGATGTCGTCGAGGTTGGACCAATCGCAGCTCGATTCGTAGGCGAGTACCTTTTGCTGATCTCTGGGTCCGCAGTTTGGCTTCTCTGGATAGGGTCTCGATACATGGATACTGAGCTCAGCATGTCGTCGGTGTGCGATCGCTCGTGGGAGACGGGTCGGAAAGCAAGATCGCCGGGGTGTGGAATGATTGGAGCAGAGGGTCGTCGAGCCAGGGACAGCCTACGCTCCTCTAGCTCTCGAGCAGCCAGTGCCTTCTTCGACAAGGCTCCGGGGCGCATGCGTGAGGCACCTGACCGTCCCGAAGTCAAGGATTCGGGAGATGGGTCTCGCGTGTGGACTCGGGTGCGACTGGACTCCCTCAGCACTGGCGTAGGCTTTCGGCTCATGGATCGGTCGCGTGGTGCATGGCGCTCAGAAGAAGCCTCACGACGGCTGCTTGTGACACCTTCCACAGCACGACGGCTGCTGCTCCTTTGGCGCGGACGAGCAAGTTCTTGGTCAAGGAAGGATTCAGATTCTTCCCGATGCATAGGTTGAGGGGATACGGGCGAATTCTCTCCACGTGTGGCACTCCGGCCGCGATAATCTGCTGGACGACGGCTTGACGCTCGGCTGGCACCTTTGCTGCGGGCGCGTGCGGCCCCTTCAGGCGATTCTGTGCGTTGTCCTGCTGTCTTGGAAGAGGATCTGGTTTTGCTCGCTCCATGACGCACTCGGCTTCTTGCGGTACGAGTGCTGGCAACTGATTCAGTAACTACAGGAGAAGCAATGCCAATCTTGTAGAACCTCTCATCATCAAAGTTTTCCGTGTTGGTGCCAGCCTCTTTCTTGGTAGAAGAGTAGATGCCTGCATCCTCTGGAGACATTGGTACAGGCGATGAAGGAGAGCGCTTTGCAGGGTGAATGTAACGCACACCAGAGCGCCCACGGTTCTGTGAGTCCTCACGGTTGCGGCTGCGTGTGCGCGCGGTGCGCGAAGCAGGTCTGTCTTCGTTTCTTGAGTTGGTGCGGTTCTGGGCATAGTGGTTTGCCTCCTCAAGACTGCTGATGTATTGATCAATGCTGCGTGCCTTTGCGCTCTTGATGCTTGCGCCGGTCAACGGAGGACTCAGTCTGTTTGTGTAGCCGGTCTCTGGGCCTTGCTCTATAACAACAGTCTCCTTCATATCGAGATGGAGATCCTGGATGTTTCTACTCTTGGAGCTGGCACGTGAATCGCTGCGCTTGTCCTTCAAGACTTCGAATACGCCTACCGCTGGAGACGGTAGGTGATCGCTCGACTTTTCAGGGTTGAAGGTTGTTGCAGACAACACGAAATCCTTGGAGCCGCTTGTTGCACGTCGTGTGGAAAATGGCAGGGTTTCTGCTTCACGACCAATATTGTCAACGGCAGTCCTAGGATGAGATTCACCGCGTTGGCCACGGTCAGGAATAGCCAGCGAAGCGAGAGACTCATTGTTTGTCGTGCCTCTACTAGCATCGGATCGCGAGGGAAAGCGCTTCCGACCGTAAGAACCCGGTGTTGCAGTCCGCGCTGAAGAAGGCTCTCGAGAAGCATCACGAGTAGCGCGTCCGATCCAAGCATGATTTCCAACAGCAGGGCTGATGGCAGATTCGGCAATGGGGGTGACACCAGCATTCATGGGTGTTTTGTCATCCTCCTCGTGGACGATTTGCTTGGGTTGTGGACCACGGGTGAAGTCTGTGACCAGCTTGAGCGAAGCCATCCTAGCCGCCACTCTGCTGCTACCGATACTTGGTGGCGACAAAGGTGGACTCAATTGAGAGCCCAGTAGTGCTTGCTTCTGTGCAGAGAAGACAGCGTCCTGAGCACGGGGCGAGAACCAGGGCTCGGTGGTTTCCAGACCCATACACGAGAAGCATCTTACAGCCAACTCTGCCTTGCCGTGTGCGACGGCATACTCACCCCATTTCCGGACCAAGTACGATTGTCTCTGCCAATCAGTTGGGAAAGTTAAACATGTGAGCAATATAGCCTCCATGTAATACTTGCGAGACACATAGACCTCGATGGCGTCGTTGTGCTCGCCCAACCCAAGGAAGATTGCGACTGCAGGATGAATGTCGCCCTTTTCGAGGAGGCGCTGTACAAAGGCCTCACCGACCTTTTTCTGCGAACCCTGACCCATGTTGCTCAGAGCCAGCAGCATCCAGTCGGAGGAAGTCATCGACTCTGAACCAACCATGGACGCCATAAGGTCAGCACCGAGGTCACCCAACCATTTGGAAAGGAGCACAGCAGCAGCAGAGCCAGGTGGGTGACGTGCAACTAAATAAAATTGTCAGTTCGAGTCTGTAACAATATACTAAGGGAATCTTACGTTCATCCTGTACTAGCTCGTCAATGTCATTGTCCCAGCCAAAGACAACTTTGAGCATGTTGAGTCGAAGGTCGTCCGGAGTGCGTTCTGGTCCGAGGTCCGAAGGGCGGAAGGGAACATCGCCAAGCCGGGCTTTGGTAAAGGGAAAGAGGTCCATATGCTCAGTTTTTTGAGCCTCTTCAGGGCTTCGGAGAACTTCTTTTCGTAGCCCTGAAGTTGCATAACGAGATGATGATGCGGTTGATGATAACGACCGGATTGACACACTCTCACGTGTTGATGTACCCATGAGCGAAGATGTGCCCGAAGAGAAAATGGTACCTGAGCCGCCAGAGCTCTTGGACCGCGTAGAGCGTTGGGAACCCTGTGAAGGCCTGTCGTATCGGTAACGTGGAGCACGGCCGCTTCCAGATGACCGCGAGCTCTGAGAGCCTCGACTTGAAACAGGACTCAGGGGTCCAACACGATCGCGGCGCTCCTCTTCCAACTGATCCATCTCTTGAGCAATCTTCTGCAGCGGCGACATAACGACGCCCTCGTCCGCGCTGCTCTCGGATTCGGATAGCGTTATCGGCAATGACTTGGCGGGAAGTGCAGTGAGTGGGGTTTCCATCTGTTTCTTCTGCTCATCTAGGGAGATTGGTGGGGATGGCGGTGTGTTAGCGGGAGCATGCTGAACATTAGCAACCATGGTTGCTGGGCCATTGCTAGGATTGAGGTCATATTGCTGGATACTCGAGTTGCGTCCAATAGTGAAAAGGGTGGCAGTGGGTCCGTAGTTGCAAATAGCGGCAATGCCATCAGCCGTGGGTACAGTTTCGTAGGAAACTCTCTTTGTACGAACATCCCAGGCGCAGGTTTGCCTGCAGTGACAATCATCAGCTCAGAAAGGTCAGGTGATCAGTGTGATACATACCCTTCAGTATACTGCACAATGCGGCCATTCTTTGACCAGGCAAACCAGCAGGGACCAGGCTCCCGTTGCTCCTTTTGGTTGAGAACGCGGATCACACAGGGACTGTCGCCTGCATGAGGTGCCTTGGGTACACTCCACACGCGGAGATCACCATCTGCGGTTTGGGCCGCCAGCATCTCCGACTTTTGCTTGGATGATGAGCCATGCCAGGCCAGACCCGCAACGGGTGAAGGATGTCTGGGAGTAGTGAGGGTGTGAAGAATGGTAAAGGAAGGTTGCAGGGTTGCAATCAGTATGGATCCATTGAGGTAACTGGAGCAAGTCAGTGGAAAGGGGCTCAGGAGATGGACCAAAAGCTCTCTGGAACGCACCCAATGGCAAATGTCCTGCAATCTGCGGCGGGTGCGAGTGCTGTGATGGGGTCAAAAATGGTCCTTGCCGAGAGGTGCTCGGATGTTGAGGGTTCAAAGAGTATGATGTTGCCCTGAGCATTTCCTGGTTGACTCGTTAGCACCTTGGCGCCGATTACACGGCAACTACAGCACCCCAAGAGACTCACCAAAAGCAACATTTCCGTTTCTCATCCAGGTTGCGACCCTGATTTGTTCATATGACGCAAAGCGAGCTACTTCATCGCCCGTGAATAGGTCCCACACAATGGCGGTGGAGCCGGCGTCATACGACACTACCAATCGGCCCGCGCCTCTTTCACTGGTTGTGTCGACAGATATCCACGAGACGTCTTCACGGTGTCTCTCAAAACGTCTCTCTACAGCCAGGGTATCGTGGTGAAGGCACAGGATTACGTTGCGCTGGGCGTAGAGCAGGAAGGAGCCGGTGGCTGCACAGGGCTCAAAAGCAAATTCGTCCTGGCCGGGCGTCGGGGGCTTGAGCTTGACATCGTTGGAGTGGACCGAATTGCTTTTGATAGAATTGGAGTTGGCGCGCTGCCTCAATCCAGTCGACATGGTGAGAGCTGGATCTGTGCGGAGGTCGGATGGTGGTTAGTCGGGGTATGTTCCGCCAGGGCGCAGGAAGCGCATTCCGGTTTGCAAAGAGGCACGGAGAGAGATGAGGAGGGGGAATCTGGGGGAAGACGCAGATGTAGGAGGAGGAGCGTGCAGGAGAAGGAGGCAAGTTTGCAACTCACTGCAGAGAGCAAGAGCGCGCTAGACGGGCGATGCGCGGACAGCTCCACGGCGTCTGGAGGAGGGTACCGCTTGGCCCCGCCTCGGTCGGTGGTTGTGACGGAGCAAGGATGGACGGGGGGGGAGCGGTGGCGGGCAATTGTTGCAGCAGAGCCAAAACGAGCAGCTGAAGAGTAGAGGGCAGACAGACAGGATGAGACACAGCAAAGCACAGGAATGGGCGACGAAAAAGGACGACGAGCGAGGAAGCGACAGGAAGCGCAGACAAAGTGTGCAAGTTGATGCGCGAGGAGGCCCGGCTATCAGTAACGGCGCTTAGGGCAGGCGAAGGCCGAGATGTTTGCTCGAAATAGGACGGCAGAGCATCGATTGGGCATTTGAGAGGCGTCAAAGGAGCTGGGGCAACGCCGCCTCATTCGCGGCCGGGTGTGAAAGGTCGAGTGTGTCGAGAAGAGCATCCTGGGAGCCAAGGTGGTGATGGGCGACGTTAGTGGTTAGGTTGGCGCCGGCGAGCCTGTGCGGACTAGACGGGCAGCCTCTCACAGCGCCGGACGAGGCAGGCACGACGAGCAGCCCATGTGCCTGCCGCACCACCATCACACTTTCGCGCTCGCTCCTGCCCAATCACCGCCCGCCCCCAGCGCCCCCACGTGAAAGGGCCCTGTCGCATCGACTCCATGGCCCGTAACCTGCACACATACGCAGTCCACTACTTGCTACTACTAACCAACAACGCTGCCCTCTTCTCATGACTCTGAAAATGCGGTGACGGTAGCGCCAGGCCACTCCTCATTTTCTGCTGTTCATGTGCGTCTCTCCGTCCCTGGCACGGGAGGGGAGGGGGGGCCAATACACGGCTGCCCGACGGTTCGCATATGTACGCCCGAGCTACTGCACCACAGCACCCACTCGCACCATGCTTCGGGAACGTCCATGTGAGGCGGTGGCACTGTGCCTGGGAGACAGTGGCTGTAATCTGTACTCTCGAGTATACATGCATGTATACACTCATACTGACAGAAAAGAACATCACACCGACACACACACTTACACACACACCCCGTACCATGGTCCTTCCGACACCTTGCCCTGGTCCTGGGATATCCCACCGCGCTCGTATACAGAGTACTGTACTTTATATCCCACCCAGCAAGCAGCCATGTACGACGTGCTGCAAACCTTGCTTGTCCCACTCTACCCGATACCCAATCCATGCATGGCTATACATATGTATACATGCATACATACATCCATACCGCATACTGACATTCAGACGCGACATTGTTTTTCGTGCAATCAAGTCCACCACCGCCCTGTGCCTGGCTCAACCTCCCACACACACACACATACACACACACTACTTACAAACTGGCGAGCCCAGGCTTGGTTTAATCTGATACGCGGATCTGCTTCCCCGATCCGCGAGGGATGATGTGCAGCACGGTATCGAATCAATAGCAGCGAAACAAAAGGGCAATGATTGCTCCCCCCCTCCCAACGCCCTGAATCACCCTTTTGCTGCTCACACCGTTTACCCTACCTCACTTCGCTGGATGTGTCCAGATGCGATTGCGGAATCGGCCTTGATTCGGGCGCACATGCTGGGCTTCCTTGCTGCGAGTAGTGTAGTCCATTATGCATCCTTCTTCACACTTGATGTACATGTATGCACACACATACACATATTATCGATTACCTTACTTACATACATACGGACAAGCCTGGGTTTGTCTAAGCATTGAACACAATTATCTCGCTTACCAACCCAAATATTCTTCTTTTATCCCGCGTTGCCCTCCCCCCCCTCCCTCGAAACTCGAATCTGATTTGGTGCGCGCCTCTTGAGCAACCCCCAGCTACAAACTTGGGGGGAGGGGGCGCTATCGCATGCCATGATAATTTCGTAGAGCACCTCATCACAACCCCGTCACATCTCGTCACAATCACAATTGTCGAATCAAAACATGCACAAACTGCAAAGGCACTTTTCAGAAGAGTAATGTAGTAAGAGTGTTATCAATTCTCATTCGTGATTCAAAAAAAAAGTCCAACTATGGATGGTGAGGGGGGGTATCTAAATAAAGCTATATAAAGGGTTGCATGCCGAGCGTGTATGCGTGGGTGTATGCGGGGTATCTAGAGAAAAAATGCGAAGCGAAATCTAAGCCACACGAGGGTTCAAAATCAAACAAACTCTCGCAAGTCCCGTCTCGCAGGGGTTGGTGGGTGGTTGGGTGGGGGTATCCATAACAAAAGTGTTTTTCCAACAAAACACTGCCAAAAACAAAACATCAAAGACGCCGGATGTAAATGCCCGAATTCCTTCGCTATGCTTCCCAAAGGGTTCCCGAGGTCCCGTCCTCGATAAAGGGATAAACTCCAGCCGGCGTTGCCGCATAAGATGCAAAACATGCGGTGGCGAGCTGGAATCGTCCTGTTCCATCTCTTTCCGTCGTGATTCGACGAGGCCCGACTGCGGTCGCAACCGGCGGAGCGCCAGTCGAGCCATGCGTGCACAGTGTGCACTGTGCTATTGGCGCAGCATGGGCTGCGCCTGGATGTGAGCACTGCCACAACCCTGACAAGGTGGCAAGGATTGCGGCGGTGTGAGGGATGGAGGCACCGCCTGTCGCGCGTCAGGCGGTACGTCTTAGTAGTAGTAATAGTAAGTAGTAGCAGCGGCCGAGGGTGACGAGGCTGCACGTGATGGAAGCTCATGTGACCTGAGCGGCGCAAGTGGTAGCGCGATGTGCACGCGCGCGCGTGCGCGTGCAAGTGTGACGTCGATGGTTGTCAAGAGGCCGACTGATAAACATGCATCAAAACTGCGGCGTAACTGGGCGCAGTCATGATGACTTGAGAGAATAAGAATGATGGTGGCTTAGCAAGTCGTGGTGATGAGTGCTCATTCAACCTGCTCGGGTGACTCTGCAATAGGAGTCATTGGCTTGGAGGTGCGGCGCTGCTTGCGGCCACTGCTGCTGCGGCGGCGCTCGCTCTTGGGCTTCTTCTGCGCGTACAGTGGAGGCAGAATGGGAAAGGCCTGGGCCATGGGGGGAACACGGGGCGGTGCTGGTGCCTCCTCGAGGAGTGGGCAGGCGAACTCGTCGTCAAAGTCCTCGCCAAACAGGTCGGCATCGCTAATGTAAGACGATGGCGGACTGCGGTGGTCAAGCGAGGGACCGGTTGGCCATGATGGGTAGGCACATGAAGAGCCGCGGGTGGAGAAGGACTCGGTCGAGTAGGTGCTGTAGAGGGAGCTGGTAGGCGACGACATGTTGTTTCTTGGCGAGATGCTGATGGGGATGGACTTTGAAGGCGACGAGGCTGGTGATGGATCGAAATGCATTGTAGCTTGTGGATGGTGAGATGTGTAGAGGGGTGGGTCCTGTGTATATAGAGACTTGCGGGCACTTTCGGCGCTAGGTGGTTACTGTGGTTTTCGTGATTTTTTCGTCAAGCAACGTGTGCCGGCAACTGGACCGAGGGCGCGGAAGCTTGGAAGCGGGCTGATGATGTATGACGCCGATGTGGATAGGCAAAACAAGGTTGCCGGTACTAACAGGGTAGCGTCGGGCCTCGTATCGGAGAGCGAGATGGGAAGGGTACGATGTGGCGAGCTGGGGCCCAAGGCAGTAGTTGGTGGAGGATGCAGAGCAGAGCGGGTGCAGGTGGGACGGTGTGGGCTATTATATGTCGCAGGTTCTACACATACACAGACATGTGCATCTACCATGTACACACACACACACACACACACACACGGAGGGGTCAGGCGTTCGAGTCAGGCAAAGCAATTTGCAGCGTCGCGGGCGAAGATCAGAGGGCGGTCTGGCCATGGGGAAGACGGAAGGCTTGTTCCATATATCTGGCCGTGTGAGAGTTTGTTCCCTTATTGCGCCTTCGCTCCGGACCGCGCTGAAAACGCCTGGGCTGGCCTTGGGCGCAGTGGGCAGTGTGTGATTTGCGTTTGGGGGCACGAGTCGGTGAGCGACCGCTCTTTGCAAGGCGAGGCCTGTCATTGGCGGAACCGCGGCCGCGCAGACCGCTCAGACCGCCCCTTTGCAAACACTGCCCAATTCCGGCTACTGCTACCGTCCGCCCCGTTCTCTCCCGGCTGCCTACCACTACTCCGTACCCTACACTCCAACACACAGACACACACACACTCGCATACATGCACATGCAAACCCGCCCGCCCGCCAGCCGAGGGTGCCACCCCTCTACGCCCTGTAACGCCAGAAGAAAAAAATTCAAGAGAAAAAAAGAAGACCAGGGGGAAACCTCCCTAATTCACCGCGCCAGTGCGGACACATGGGCATGGGGGCGAGGGGGGGTGGCGGTGGGGGGTGGTATGGCCCTGCGAGTATGTGAGTGTGTGGGTGTGTATGACAGTGACAGCGGAAACAGCGCCCACGACTCATCTGCACGCCACGCCCGGCTCCTCGCGAGGGCATATGCGGATAAGATTAGTGGTTTTTGCCGCATACAGTAAGGGGTCAGACAGAGGATCATCTCGGGGATCATGGCAGAAGCAGAAGGGAGACCCTTTTTGCCCTATGCCCTCGTATACTACTGACTCTCCCCCACGCCTACGCCGCTGTCTTCACCCGCCGGCTTGTGTGGCATGGGCAAAAAAGGAAGCACAAGCGCACGTCCCCGGCTGTCTGTCCGCTTCTCCGCCCTGTGAGTGCGAGTGCCCTGCTGCTACTTACTGCTGCCCAAGAGAGCGAGGGCACAGAAGCCAATGAATTCTAATCCGTCCTATGCATATGCCACCTCGTCCCGCTCGCCTGGTGACTCAGATGGCTGCTGGCTTC